TTGCTAGTTTTGTTTGCTGAGTAGACTTTGTATTGGCCGGTTTCAAATGGGTCATTGGAGGATCAATTATTTGATGGCTTGTCACATCCCTTCCCTGAGTTTGCGTTATAAAGCAACAATCCATTAATGATGGGCTCCCCCTCCCTTGTTTCTTCTCTCACTCATAATGAGGAGAGGGAACTCTTCCTGGCAGGAAGAGGAGGTAAAAGCAAAGCTTATCATCTTAAGTGGGATATGAGTATGCTATTGAATGAGTTGAGTATGGGGGGAGAGAGAGAGAGGCTTTTTCTTTCTTTTCTTTCTTGTCTAGCCTTGTGTTGTGGAGGCAAGTTGGCAACACCATATGTTTTCTTTTCTTTCTCACATCATCTCATCCTTCCCCTCTGGATCTCTCTCTCTCTCTCTCTCATTTGTACGTGTTTGAACTTTTATGAAGCAAAACTTGCTTGCTAGTGGGACTGTAGCCACTTTTTGCCCTTCAACCACGTGCCTCAATTGCATGGTCTAAGGTCACGGTTTTATAATGCGTTTACTAGGGAGAGGTTTCCACCCCTTTCTAATAAATGTTTCGTTCTTCTCTCTAACCGATGTGGGATCTCACAATCCACTCCTTTTGGGGCTTTGTAGCACCAAATTCATTGCTAGCTGATAATGTCCGTTTTAGTTTGTTACATATTGTCGTCAGCCTTATAGTTTTAAAATGCATCTGTTAGGAATAGATTTTCACTCTTATAAGGAATGTTTCGTTCCCCTCTCTAGCTGACATGGATCTCACACGTAACACTATGCAGTTGGGTCACGTGGCTTGTCAGCAGCGATAAGTATTGCTCATTTTTCCAAGGGAGTAAGGCTGTTTTGGATGAGGTTGTAGTAAAAGAAATGCCATTCTCATCATAACCAAATACATTGTATGCATGTGGTGAAACAGAAGGAGAAAGGATATTGAGAGAAGAAGAATGATAAACTACTGATTTATATATATATATATAATATATATATATATATATTGAACATAATTATAAAAAAAAAATTGAAAAAAAAGGAAATTATTGAGATAATGAGACAAAAAATAGTAAAAGACAAAGGATAAATAGGCACATGAGAAGTGGGAAGTAGTGGGGAGGAAAGTGAGTGATGTCCGAAGAAGGGCGTATGAGCTGTTTTCCACATGGCTTAACTAACCACTCAGATCACCCACTAGACTCGCCTGCTTTTCCAATCCTTTACCAAACTTAATTTCATTATCCATAAATATTAATGTTTAATAATAATATTAAAAAAAACTCAAAAATATTCAAATACCTAAACTTTTTAAAAAAACTTAGAGAATGCTTTTAAATTCTTTTAAAAATACCTTTAAACGGTTTTAAAATTTAAAAAAATACCCTCAGTGTTGAAAAATACTCGTGAACTTTCAAAATAGTTAATTTATGAGACGTCGATAGGTGGCTTTTGTTCATAAATTAACCGTTAAGAATTTTTTATTTTTTTTTTCTTTTAAATAAGTAAAGGGTGACAAAGTATGCCGTAAGGACTTGTGTTGGTTTTCGGGATAGTTTTCATATTAATAAACGAGAAGTAGGTAACATGACCATGTCGTAAGGGAATGTCGGGTCATTAGGTGTCGAATTTGGATTCCAAAATCTAGAGACTAAGATTTTAATTATTTTAACCCTAATTCAATATAATTTTTTAAAATAATAATTAAACTATGGACTTTTAGAATAATAAATTTTACTTTATTCATTTAGTTACGTTCGAAATAACCTATTTAATATATATATATTTTTTCTATCATATATGAAATATTTAACGTTTTTTTTTAAACGTTCAATAAAGAAAATGGTAAAATGTTGACTAATTTAACTTATCCTAAATTTTAGATATATATTTAGTCAAAATCAAATGTAACTTGAAAGTACAAAGCCTCATCTTATCCCAATTATAAAGTAATGTAAATAGAATAAATCAAATAATCTTATCAATGTCTCTTCAATGGTCAAATTATGGGCCATAATGGAAAATATTTCATTTAAGAAATATTTAATTTACTAAAAAAGAAAATAAAAAAGGAAAATTTTTATATGATTTTTTGTAAAGAAAACATAAAATTCCACTCTCATTGGTAAGGAGTCTCTTCCTTAAAAGCTTAGACAAATAATATAATGCCCCAAAAATCCAAATCCCTTTTGAATTTCCTATGATTTTTATTTTCTCCAACCATTTTAAATTAAGAAAAATATATAATAAAAGCCTTAAAAATTAAAAATTAATTTGCTTCTATTTTCAAATTAAGTCCAAATTAAGTCTCATCTCAGTTTGAAAGGTGAACGAAACATTCCTTATAAGACTATGGAAACCTCTTTTTAGCATACGTGTTTTGAAACCGTGAGGTTGATAGTGATACGTAATGAGTCAAAGCGAACAATATCTACTAATGGTAGACTTGGGTTGTTATAAACAGTATTAGAGTCAGACATGAGGCGATGTGCGAGCGAGGACACTGGACTCCCAAAGAGGTAGACGAAATATTCCTAATAAAAGTGTGAAAATTTTTCCCTAACATACATGTTTTAAAATCGTGAGGCTGATTGCGATACGTAACGGGCAAACAATATCAGCTAGCGGTGGGCTTGGACTGTCACAAATAATATTAGAGTCAGACATCGGACAGTGTGTCAGCGAGGAAGTTGGCCCCCAAGGGAGTAGATACGTAACAGGCCAAAACGGATAATATTTGCTAGTGGTGGGGTTGAACTGCCATACGAAGAAAGTAATATAATCACACCACGGTTTGAACTCTCATAACCTTATGAACGGATTAGATTCTTTAATCAGATCACTAAACCAACCAATAAGGGTACGTTCATTTCTTTGTTCGTAATCGGTGATTTGGGACGTTTTTTTTTTTTTTTTTTTTTTTTTTGAA